TGTTTTATTACGACGTTTAACACAACTATATTTTATTTTCAAGGCATTTTCATAAAATAGCAACAAATAATTAAGATGGATACCTAATGCCTATTAGATACTTAAGTCAAAGTCTTAATAAAACATCAACCGGTAAATGGTATGTTTACATTCCAAAGTCATTAAAGAAATACTATAAGTGATATACAATGATAGTTAGCCGTTTTGTAATTACGGAACTTTTTTAACGTTATTTCAATGTTGGTAATGGAAAGGTTGTTCCAATTACGTCATTATTTTTTAAAATGACCCACCCCATCATCGTCGAAGGAAATCAAACTAGCAATAGACCAGGTGACGTGGCAATTTATATTTCATGGACGGTTCAATTTTTATTTTATTTACCGCTTGAAATACCCCAATACTCCGTACTTTTAATATTTTAGCGGTTGCGCTCCAGAGACTACCGGCTTGCTATAAATATAAGAGACGGAAATCTAAGTGCGCCGGCAGTGGGCGAATTTAATATTCGTTTTTAGGCGTGAATATTTCATGTCGAAATGATCGAAATCGATTAAATGGTTTGAATTGAATCGAAACTATAAAATATGATTGGAATTCTTCAATTACGTTATTATATCGTCCATATAAAATATTGATGTAAGTATTTTGTTGCGCAGTAAACTATGGGGCGTGCTACAAAATGACCTCAGTTTATATTATATGATTAAAAATTAAAAATATCCCTTACATGACTATGAATAATATCATAAAAATCATTATATTAGAGGTATTTGTCAGAGAAAATTATTATTATGGGGATTTATTTATTTTATTATATCTCTCAACAATCATTTTGTACATCATCTGTTTGAATATTTTCACAGATTGCGAATTGCTTCAAAAAGGTTCTCTTCCATTATTTGAAATACTTAAGAAGATGCAGCAGATGAAGATACAAAGAATTCTACTTCTTCTTTGAAATGAGAATAAAATATTAGCGTACAAAATTAAGAACAATTATTTGTACTTGTATTTTTCAGAACGTTAAACGGAGTTTGATCGTAAAACATTTTTATGGCAGCATATTGAAAACTGCAACAACATTATTTCCTTCAAATCTCATGCATATCACATGTTTACAATAATAATTTGCACGAATGAAGAAAGAAAGGGAAGAAACAAAAATAAAATAATATGAATTTGGAAACAGAAAAAGTAGAGGTGAGAGACTAAAAGAATTTGCATTTTTATTTAATGAATACTTTCTCCGATAAGCTGCAAGACAGAAAATGGACGTGGACAATCTCGGGCGGACAAAATAAATTGGTTTTTCCTTAACCTCATTTTCATTAAATGTCAAATTTGAACCGAGGCATTAAACTACTTTATGAAAAATACTGTTCATTCTGGAAACTTAAAATTTGGTATAAACTATCCACAAACATACTAGTACTGCATCAGAAAATTTTATTTCCCTATTACAAAGTGATTTGGAGAAAAATATTTTCTTTTAACTTAATTTTTAAAGCGACAGTTTGAAAAATATAAAATCATCTTGTTCATGATTTGTTAAATACCTCGTATTTAAAAATTTTTGGAAATTTATTGGATTTGGGACACTTAATTTACCAGAAAAGTAAAGTATTCTAAAATCTATGCAAGCAGTACATCACTAATGACAAAAGTTAAATTAAGAAAATGACCGAGATTTCTGATAAAATTGTAGAGGCTGCTGGTAAGATATATGAATCAACAGTTTACCGTGTGATTAAAGAATATAAGAATACCGGAAACAAAGAATGTGAGTCCCCAAGCAGCCCCAATATACTGGCTTGATGAGACATGATTTAATGAAGGTCATACTAAAAGGAAAGTTTGAGTAGATAAATTCATTCAAACCATGAGGCAAGCATTTTTCGAAGGTTTAAATAAAGAGCTTAACAATTCATCAGGAAAAGGAAGACAATTAATAATTTTTCATGTTGGTTCTGAATTGGGTTTTGTTGTTTGAATTGAGTTTAGTGCTTGAAGGTAAAAAACGAAATATTATCATGAAGAAATGAACACGAAGGTATTTGAATATGCAGTTATTGTAACCACATTTCCTACCACAACTGTAAAGTTGAGAAAATAACAACAACATCTACTAAAAACCAAATGCAAACTTGGGTTTCTTTAAAAGATATTGTGTATAAAGAAAACATGGTGCAAAGCCATTAATGGCTTCGATAAACGCAAATAACGAGGGAAAAGGGAATATAAAAAAAACGATAATGGCCACCTATTATCACATGTGCTCTATAGACTAAAATACTAATCATCAGCACTATCTGCTAGCAGGCGAGAATAAAACAGCATTCAGATGTACAAAAACATCAGTTGGCAATTTATGAAAATCTATCTGGAGACCACTTACTAATCAGATATTTTAGTCCATATACATAGTTATATATACATAGTAAATATAGGATAAATATATACATAGTAATAGTGTTTACTATTAATTTCTCTGTAATCTCTCGGTAAACTGTATACTCAGAATGCTAATGAAAGCTTCACCTCAACTGTTTGGCAATTAACCACAAAGCGCCTACTTATTATGGCTTGAAAATAGTTGAGTTTAATTCATTTAATATATTAATGTTATTGACAAGGAGGCCAAAATACACGTAGAAAAAGGACGACTATCGAAGCAACGCGACGAGTCTCTGCCCAGAGAAGTTTGGAAATTGAGTGCATTATTATTCCATCGCTATATTTTAGCGATGAAAAGTTTACTTTATAAAAACACAGATGCTTTATTGTATGACTCTGGAATTATAGATTAGTTGATAAGTCATATTGCAAATTGAAAAGAATCAATATTGGAAATTTTTCGTAATAAACAATTATTTTTAATTATTTTCAGAAAATCATAATAAATTGTAATTTCAATTAATCATTATAAAATTATCATTAACATGAAATTATTAACATTTGCAACACAAATTATTAGCTTTCCAATAAAAAAGAAGATTTTTAAAATATCTTTTAGTTTTTGAGATATTAATTTTTAAACATAATAAAACATATTCTCATTTTTTTAATTTACTCTGAAATCTTGGAAAATTCCTGAAAATATTTCTAATTTCCTTGAAATTGATACAACTTTTTGCTCATCTAAATGTATTATAACTTTACTTTAAAACGTTTAAAAGTTGCGTTTTTAGAAATTTTTATAAAAAAAAACGTTCAACCCCAAAATATAAAATTTGGTGTAACCTTATAATATATCAAAAAGTTTTTATTTTACAAAACCCACCATTAATTAAAAAAAAATCTAGTTTTGTCTAAGATTGACCCTCAGATTATTTTATTTTGCTATTTTAATTAGGTATCCGTAACAGTCAGTAATGATAACTTTTACATAAGAAAAAAATCTCCGAGCAATTTTAATTTTGGTGTTAATGGTGTTATTAATCACTCAAGGTGTTATTCATGGGGGCAATAATATTACCACAATTACAATTAACGATGAGTTCATTATTTCAAAAAAAGTATAGCGGTGTTTTGCTTTTGCTATTAAGTCATTTCGGAGTTCTACACTGTGTAATTTATATTTAAATCAGTCCAGCCAGACTTTATCAAACGCTTTTACTACGTCTAAGAACCGACCCACCGTGAACTTTCCTTTCTAAACCCCTTGTTCAAGGATGTTATTAACCCAGTTGATGGATAGTTGAATGATACTTGTGAAATTCAAACTCGATATTTAGGATTAGACTTAAATCACCAATTTCGTTTGATTATCTTGCATAAATAGTTTTTTAAAATATCTTCCAGTTTCTGACTACTTTTCCAATCAATATCCGTTAATTATATTTAATCCAGATATTTTAAGATTTGAAGCAAATTTTAGGTTGAATCACATTGGGCCATTTCTTGTATTAGTCGCACTTTTTTGTATCTAAGATGTCGGGTTAACTATCTCTTCACTTAGGTTTGAAAGGTAAATGAGATAGATGCCGTTTGGATTATTTATACTGATATACAAGCAATATAGACTTTGTAAGAGGGTATAAACGTTATTAATAATTAAGTTTGGTTTTCTTTGATAAATTTAGTGAGTTTTAAGGAGACATGATGGATGCCGAAGTTGGAGGAATTTCTAGAGAGGATTTATTTTGTGTTTGGAAATTGATCTGGTTTTGGACATGAAAGTTATTGTATTGTTGTTACTTCTTCTATCTTCTTTCTTCCATCATCTATGCCATCGAACTGGGCGAGCTTCCTTGTAGTTTGAACATATAGGTGGGTCGGTATTTTCTTCGTTAACTTTAACTCATTTAGGCTTGAGTGAGCAATAACTTTACATGTGTCTGTAGCATTTCTTTATTAGTTGTATGGTGGTGATTCAACAACGCACATCTTCTACTTTTATTTAACAATATGGTCTGGTTGAATTCTTCTTTGATGTCGTTCTCTGAGATCCAAGATGGAACGTTGCGCAGAGCTACTACGAGAATTCTCTTTGATGCATTTCAAAAAGTGTCGAATACATACTGTATTGGTATACGTTAATTTTTGTGGAACTACGCAGATTTTAAATTATTAGTATTAAAGTTGTTGACAACATGGTATCTGTTCTGTTATAGATATAGATAATGTAGTTATATCAATAAATCAAAATGATTTTATATACTATTCTATAACAAATGTTAAAGAATATAAAATGGTTTAAAAATATTTTACATAACCGAGCACAATAATTTTCTAAGAATAATAGAATGTGAATTTATTCACTTTATATACAGTGTGTTAATTAATTATCATGACATCGGGTACGATAATTAATTAACACACTGTAGATTATTATTGATGTGTGTTGAAAAATAGTTCAGTTTAAATACGACATCAGTTGTTGAGTAGATATAATTTGTTGATTTGAATACATCTAAACTAATATTATAAAATCTTATAAGTACAGTAACTAATGAAATATGTAGAACTTAAAATATAAAAAAAACGTTGACACTTACCGGCGATTGAAGAGGTGGAGGCAGCACCGAGCCAAGCATGGGATGATTCCAACAGCTTGGCCTGAAACAGAAAAATCCGTTAGGGTCGTTTGTCATTGTTGGGCAGAGCGTTGGGCCGTGTGTGGCGCTACGTTGGTGGAATAAATGCGTTTTAATAGCGCAATGTACATAAAATTATCATAAAATACGGTCGACTCTTTATTTATAATTGTTGCCGTAATTAAATTCTCTTAATTTATGCTACGCCCGGAATGTAATTTGTGTGCGACCATTAAAGGAATGCGTGGCCGGGGCTGTTGACTCCGCCGCTTTTTCCTCCATGTTGTACGCTTTTTTTAATAACGACGCGGCTTATTAATTAAATTCGTCCTGTCAGGAACTGAAAAGCCGCGCCGATTCCCCGAAATAAAATTACCAGTACCGTTTTATCGCGAACTAAATCTTTGTACTGCTTGGTTATATTTTAAAACAAAAGGGTTTAAAATAAAAGAAGTAAAAACCATCTCGCGCGTGTCACCATTTACATAATACCGTAAAAATGCGTACCGGTCTAAGTTATTTGCTTCCGTTGGAAATTTAAATAAATAAGTCGCTTCGCACTTATTGTGCTTCCTCCCACCATCCTTTTCTTTCGTTGAAATAATAACAGACGAGCAAAATACCCCGGGCAATAGACTTTTCCGCACACCGAGAGAAAATAATGAATACAAATTTATCGCCGCTTTTTTTGCTTTGTATAATTCTGAATACATTAACGTCCACCTACCACCCCTGTGAGCTGCCGGCACGTGTTTTATTTGCAGCTTTTTGTGCCGTACTTCCGCGTAAAAGGAAATTTATCCATTTTTAAACGGCAACTACAGTCGAACCTGAATAAATGAAATCTCATAAGGCCTCTTCAGAATTTTCGCACACAAAAGTATTTTTACTAACATATCCTTGCATTTAGTTTACAAATTTATATTAAATATAATGTTACACAAAAAAAGATATGCATTGAATGAAGAGCTACCAGATGCCTCATCCACTTATCCTCATCGTACAAAATTATGTAAATATATACATTGACAACGTCAGGGATCAGAATGACCGGCGGCCGAATGTAATATATCATGTAAAATGTACGGTTGTCCATAGCCGTTGGAGAGAGCCTTCGACTTCGGCACGAAGAAACATAAGAAGAGAGGTAGCAAGAAAGGAGGAGGCAGGCGAAAAGAAGGAGAAGGCTCGTTAAAAATACAACGGTAATTACACGGCGTTCACCGCCTGGTCGGGAGTATTGGCCATCGAAGGCGAGACATCGACCAATCGCGAAACGCCGACATCCAAGAACTCACGTTCCGAAGCACTTCTTGTACGCCTTGCATGACTTGCCGCTATCTTGGCGAAGTTTGATTGCTGCGATTCCCGTCGTCATTATGATGTCGACGATGGCTGTTGCGATTTTGTGATTTGGTCTTTGTTTCTATAAAGAATTGTGGGAGGAGATTTGCTAAGAGAAAATATTTTTATTTTTTTTATTTACAGTTAACCTTTTTAGTTCGATTAAAAAGTATTCTTTATGGTTGAGATGGATAAAATGATTCTGAAGTAAATCAATCGACGAAACGGGCCAATAACGCGGTATGAATTTTACAATATGTGTCGTCGGGGAAAATTGCGGTAAAAGTGGCGGTGGGGGCGTCATTAAGCCTTAATAGGGTATCGACGTGCCGCCGACGACCTCCTCTTGGCGATGCAGGAAACCGCACAGAAAGAGAGTAAAGGAAACGAAAAAAAAATAAAAGTAGGGGGACCTCCGCAGGAATTTATGTGACAATTTCAATTGCGCAAATAGTTTTACCGGGGTAGCCCTTGTTTACGACCGCTTCTATATAAAGGTATACTCTTTACGACTTGTCCAGCTTGTTAGGTATACTTTATTGTCCTCGTTGATGTATTCCTGCGTCGGTCTGAACGGCAGTCAAATTTAAAAGGGCCCGTCCGTGGACCGGCGATGCAATAAATATGAAGGCGCATCCAATAAAGAAGAGAAATAACTTACTTAGCGGAAACTGCGTACGCCCCATTCGGAGCCTAAAGGTTATTTCGTGCTATTAGAGCCGACGGTTTACGTTTTAATCGCGAATGACGGACTGCGTTGTCGACTAAGATAGCAACCGTAAGAAAGCTTTCCTTCACCGTTATAGCTTATTTTGGTATTTCTACCATATTTCCACTTTTTGTGGGTCTTGAGTACCTCCAATATAGGTAGATGGAGCAGCTGCTCACATATACAGGTATTAACAAGAATGGTAACGCAATAAATAATATGTTGTTACATGAACCCTTATATAACTTGACCAAGTATAAAGAGATTAAAAAACACAACTGTATTTTTTTATTTTAAGTTGATATAAAGACATATTTATTACAATAAAACCTCGATAGAACGAACTTCGAATATAACGGACAAACATTTTTAACATCCAACTCGGGTTATTCCTAAAGTTGCTGTATTCCATGTTCATAGGTAAATTCGGGGTATTCCCCAACAGAGATGTGACTTATTTGAAATAAAAGTATTTAAAATACAAATACAAAATACATATTAGCTATTAGTAGCTTATTTTATATGTTGAAAATACTAAATACTTTTTTCTTAAACGTCTCTAACATGGTTGTCTAAAACTTAATTTCTTTGCTGACTTTTCCTTCTATATATAATAGTCTCAAACGAAAAAGTGCTACTCTTGTATGTAGGAGATTTAGAGGATCTCACACATACGACAAAGTTGCCGAACTAATTTCTGACATTCACTCAGAATATGATTTAATAAAAACCGTTACTGATAATGGATCTAATATAAAAAATTAAAGAATTTGGAAAAAGTGAACAAAATTTCGATATCTCTGAAGATGATGATGAAAATAATAATGATGAGGATGATTTAGTTCCATCAGCTCTCCCGGAGCAAACTGATAATCATGACGAATATTTACTTCCTAATCATGAGAGATATGCAACTCATACTCTGCATTTAATAGTTGCAAGGAATATAGAACAAGTTAGAACACAAAATAATCCTTGCAAGAAACTTCATGAAGCAGCCTTCGCTAAATGTCAAGCAGTATGAAATCTATGTTCTAGATCTCCAAAAGCATGCGAGATATATTTGGAGTGTACTGGAAGGTCTGTTACTTCTCCATGCCCAACTAGATGGAACTCTTATTACAACTGTATTCGAGAATTTTTGACAGTGCAAGAACAGCTAAATGATACGTTAAGAAAACTAAATTCGCCACTTTTTAAAGATAATGAAGTAAACTACTTCTCGGAATACATAAGTTGTTTAAAACCAATTGCTGACGCCATTAGAAGCTTAGAAGGAGACCAAGAAACTTATTATGGATGCCTACTACCGGAACTAATGCGTATACGACGAATCTTAAATTCGCTAAAAACTGATAATCCAAAGTACTTTAATTGATACAATAGAAAAAAGTATAAACAAGCGTTTTAATTGTCACTTGGATTTGGATGAACCTACTGCAAAGGGTGCTATATTGGCGGCCGATTCCCATCCATATTTTAAACTAAAATAGGTACCAAAATGTAAACGAGAAAATGTGAAAAAATCTGTGTTGATGAAATACGGATGATGAGATAGGAAATGCTATTGGAAAATGGAAAGAAAAAAATTAGACGCACTACATGTTTGAGGATTCATCAGATTCGTCCATAAGAAGTGATAGTAACAGTAACACCACTACTAACTTAGAAATACTTCATTATTGGAAAGATAGTAAAAAAGTTTTTATTAAATATAATACCCGTATTCCAGGTTCTGCTCCAGTAGAAAGCTTTGGCGGAATGACAATAAGGCCTAACAGAATGAAAATGAGCGACGAGTTATTTGAAAAACTAGTGATTTTAAAAATCAACAAAATAAATTTATGTTCATATAAGCTGTGTATGAACAATCTAATCTAATTCTGCGGTTCTTTTAATAGAGACAACCAATAATCTACGACTAATCTGTGGCAGAGCCGCTAGATTGGATTTGCCAAGCTGTAGTTCATGTGATTATTTAACCAGTTCACTAATGTAAATTTTATAAAGGGGCAATACACAGATTGACAACATATATTGAACGTGTGATGGGAAAAGTTAAAAAAAAATCTTGTAGTGGTGTTTAAATAAAGTATTTTATAAAAAGTATGTTAATAAAAGTATTTTGAAAACACGTACTTTGTATTTTGTATTTAAATACTAAATTAAAAAAATATTTAGTATTTTGTATTTCAAGTACAAAAATTTGAAACTATTTGCATTTTGTATTTAAATACTTTTTCAAAGTATTTTTCACATCTTTGTTCCCCGAGTTGTCTATACGATATATAAATCAAGGTCGGTAGTTCTAGTTTTAATTATTATTCGGTGCTAGATTCGTGTACCATATTTTTATTGAACTAAAAGTAGAACTAACACTAGACCTAGAACTAGAAACATTCAGGTGTAGCAGTACGTTTCTTAAGACGGCTAAACCCCAATGTTTCTAGTTCTAGCTCTACTGTTAGGTCTAGTTTTACTTGTTATTTAGTACCAGATTATTGTATATTTTTATTGAACTGAAACTAGAACTAAGACTAGACCTATAACTAGAAACATTCGGATTTAGCCGTTTTAAAAGACGAACGGCTAAACCCGCATGTTTCTAGTTCTAGGTCTAGTGTTAGTTCTAGTGTGTTAGCTCCAGTTTTAGTTGTTCTGCAACCGCACGTCTCTAAAGATGGCTAAACCCGAATATTTATAGTTCTATGCCTAGTGTTAATTCTAGTGCTAGTATTAGTTTCAATTTTAGTTGTTATTCAGCGCTAACTCGTTGTATATTTTTCATTGAACTAAAAGTATAACTAACACTAGAAATACAACTAGAAACATTCAGGTTTAGCCATACGTCTCTTAAGACAACTAAACCCGAATGATTCTAGTTCTAGGTCTAGTGTTAATTCCGATGCTAGTGTTAATTCTTGCTTTAGTTGTTATTAAGCCTTAGATTGTTGTATATTTTTCATTAA